GTTTGGGGGAGAGGGGTTGAGAAGGGTGTGCACAGTGAGCGGTTCAGGTGAGTAGACCCTTGTGGGCGCAGTCAAACCGCCAGGGTTTGCTGACCCAGCGAGGCGAGCAGGTGCTGGGTAATTGCCCGTGGCAGGCAGTGGGGCCCTCATGGGTCGGCTCGACAGCCAGGCTGCGGCGACCTCGCGCGCGCTCACCGCAACATGCACGCATGCATGCGCGCACGCACTCCTCTAACACACGTCACTCTGCGGGACCCCGCCGACTACTGCGTAACCCTGCTGCACCCGCGAAGCACACCTGATGATGTAGGAAGGATCTATGTATTTGATGTCCCCCTGCTTGAAGTGGCCCTTGAGTTGGTCACGCATGAACAGCCTGTGGGGGGGACACCCAGTGTTGGGGAGAGGGAGGGGCCACACACTGTGATACTAATATGTCTGGCATTACTCATACTGTGTAGCTGGCACACCCACGTTGGGGTCCGTCGGTCGGCTGACCGTGATCAGGGGGGCTTGCTTGTCAGACATGAGGCTTGGGGTGTCTGCAGTGACGGCAGCAGCGGGGGGCCGAGCCCACCCGGCAGCGCAAGGAGGCTGATGCGGCCGCTCGTGCGGCCGGCCCGGCCCACCCGATGTCCTTCAGGATGGGGTTGCCCGACGCGTCGGTGCCGCCGTTGGTGTGGTCGTCCAAGATGTCCTGCCGTGTGGACAACAATTGGTTGGGGTGAGGGGTTGGGGCAGAGTCAGAGGAGGGGCACGTGTGCTCCCCATCAGCCCGCAACCTGCCGCACCCGCTCGTGCCGCTGCCGTCCCCACCCGCCCGACATGCCCCGAGCCTGGTGCATCTGGGGCCCGGCTGCCGCTTTACAATATAGCAACGTAATGTAATTCGCCTGCCCCGCACCGTCGAAACCTCAACTCAGGGCTCCTCGCAACAAACAACACACACACACACACACACGCGCATGCACACACACACACACGCACACACGCGACAAACATACACACACACACACATCAGTGCGCACCAGACTAAGGCCATTTTCGCCCCCTTGCGCTCTGCCACCTCAATTCCGCACACACACCTTGTCACATGCACACGCGCACGAGCAAACACTCACACACACACACGCACAAGTACAGACGTGTACCGTCTTTCTAACCCACCTGCCCCGCGCCCTCCGCCAGGCAGACCACCGCGTGTCCCTTGCTCTCCAGGACTCCCCCCAGGTAGGCCAGCAGCCCCCCAGGACCCTCCAGCTTGAAGGGCACTTCTGGGATGAGAACCGCGTCAACCACGCCTGGGGGTTTGGGTGGTGGCGGGGCAGGAGAGAGTGCAGGGGCGGTGGCGTGGGTGTGAGCATGCTTGTGAGAGTGGGTGTGCGGAGGTGAAGAGGGGATGGGCGTGCAGTTGTGGGCGGCGCACGAGTGGGGGGACGGCTGCGAGCGTGCGTGTGCTTGCACGAGGGGGAGGGAGAAAGGGAGGGAGGATGTGGAAAACTGGCGGGCAGCCCGGGGGTAGCAGCAGGTGCGGCCGCATGGCAAGTATGCCGCCTCGGTCCGAGCGCCACGACCGATATCACTGCGTCGCTGGCGATGCTGGATGGCCACCAACCTGTAACGCCTTCAGAAAAACACCCCTGGATATACGTCGCATGCAAGAGCCCTAGCTGACATACACGCACCCGTGAGGTCTCTCTCACACACACACAAACACACACACACACACACAATCACACACAATCACACACGATATCACACACACACACCCTCAAGCCCCCTGCTGGGCGCACCCACCCGCAGCCATGGAGGCCTGCATGGCGATGAACCCCGACTGCCGCCCCATGAGCTTCACCAGGCCAATGCCGTTGCGCGCGGACGACGCCTCCACCTGTGGCAGATTTGGGTGGGGAAAGCCGAGGTTTCGTGCACTGGTTTTCTGAGAGCAAGCGCAGGCGCCAAGGGAGGGAAGGGGAGGGCGGGTGTGTGTGTGGGCAGCGCGCCGCGAACGGGGGGCGCGCCACGATGATGCGCGGCGCGAGCAGGCGGGGCAGGGGCCGGCGACCGTGCGCGGCGACCCCAACCCCTTAACCCTACATGTTCTATTTCTTTGTCCTTCATTGAACATTCACCAGGGCCAAGGGCACACAGCAGCGTCCGGCCCGCCAGCCCCGCACGCCAACAACCCTGAAAGGCCGACCCGCGGCCCCAACCCCGCCTCCGCCAAACCCCCGTCCGGCACCCTACGTGTGCGGCCAGCAGCGCCCTCTGCGCCTCCTCCACGGCGGTGTCGAAGCCGAAGCACTTGTCAATCAGCAGGATGTCATTGTCGATGGACTTGGGGATGCCGATGACGTTGCACGCCACGTCAGACTCTGTTTGGGGACCACAGGGGTGAAAACGTGGCGGGTTCTAGAGTCAGACGAGGCATTTGCGCACCTGCCCTGCTCCGCTGTGCGGCCCCACTCCGCTGCATGGACTGCAGAGCGGCGCAGGGAGGGTTGGCATCGCACTAGCTGCAAAACTGCCCGAAAACACTGTGGTCAGGCGCTGTCGGCGCTGCTGTGAGCGGGCTCGGCGTGCATGGGCTCGAACCGAAGACCGCGCACCTGCACACTTCTGCTGGATGGCGTTGGCGCCGGCGTTGCCGCCGTTGCCCCCGACCACGAACAGCATGTCCACCCCCCACATGTCGATGCGCTTGACAATCTCCCTGTGAAGGCGGTGGTGGCGGGGGTTGGGGCGTGTGGAGGGAAGGGGGTTTGTGTGCGGCGTGACGTGGATGGAGGCTTTCTGCGCGGGCTGGGGCTTGGCGCGGGTTGGGGCTTGTTGAACGGCCGGTGCAAGGGGGCGGTCGACCTCAGAACAGAGAGCCATCTCACGGCATTCACAGCATCACACAGCTCACTGGCAAAGTGACAGGAGCGCGAGGCGGCAGGAAGCCCAGCCCTTGCAGAGTACAAAACAAGGCACAAGGTCGACGGCTCGTGAGTCTGGACACGGCGCCCAGCTCCCAACCAGTTCCCAGGCGCTTCCTGCGGCCATCCTCTCATGCAAGCCATCCTCCCTCCTCCTCCCCGGCTGAACTAGTCAGATCGAGAGCGCGCCCCCCTCTGCCCTGCCCTCCCACGAGGCCCGCGGCCGGCCGCGCCCGGCTCACTTGATGTTGGCGCCGCCGCGCGACGTGCCCAGGATGGTGCCCCCCTGCAGCTGGATGCCGTCGACGCTCTCCTTGGTCAGAACAATGGGCTTGTGCTCCTTGTCGTAAAACCCCCTGAGTATAGTGTGTTGTTGCAGGGTTGAGGGTAGCAGTGTGCACAGCGCTCCTGCATGGCGCTTGTTTGGCACGTGTCCCCTCCTGGCCCTGCCTGCGCCCATTGCTTAAGTTGAGGCCACTCGCACGGTCGCATCGGTTCGAGGGAGTCGATGAGACTACGAGGGAGAACGCGGCTCAGGACGGCTGCAAGCGAGACAGAGTCGGCAGGGGAATCCAAGCCGCACCACCCAGAGCGGCGAACGGAGGGAGCGGACGGCGGGGCGAGGCATGTGAAAAGCGCGACTAATCGTCTGCCGAACGCGCCTGAAGCCGTAGCGGATGCCGAGGATGTTGCCCTCGGGAACACCATAGTCAGTCAGCTTGTTTACCAGGCCCTGGGGTAAAACGGTAAACATGGGAAGTTGGACAGCCATGGGGGGCGGAAATCAGCAAGAGGTGTTCTGTTGTGGCGACGGCGATGCAGGCGGCGGGCCGGCGGTCAAACACAGTCAACGAGGTGGCTCCGGCAGACGGAGGATCCAGGATCAGCGCGCTGCAGAGGCTTCGCTGGCCCGGGGCACCCGCGAGGGGAGCCCCCGCCGGC